GTATATCGTTTGTTATATTTGACAATTGGTTAAGTATGGTACAATTGTCACCACAAATAGAACGATGAACGAAGAATGTATAATACATATGACGGTGTTATACCGATTTATGTACACTGTTTTTATTAATTTATTCATAAAATATTTATATTCGCAAGTTGAAAAGATTTCTAAACCTACTACTGTAAATATATTTATATTGTAATTCGTGAGGTATATACTTCAAACGGTCAAATGTTTAGCACACTGGAAAATAACTAAACTGTTCCACCTTCTTGTTGTTAAAGAAGCGAATGAGAGTAAAAAGAGCCAAATGGAAAAAGAAACTTGTCTTTACGAAAACACTACACACACATGCACATGCTATCCTCTATCTTCTCCCCTCAACTTAGCATTGCATCTATTGTATTTGGACATTTCAATACTAAAAAAATCCTTATCTTTGCTATCTCCTTTTTGCTATAGTTCTGTACTTTCACTAAAGTATGTTCTCAATGGTAAACTTCCGCACTAAGTTATTATTATTATTTAAATGAATGTACAATTCATTCAATCAAATCATATATGACACTAAATGTACCTTTTAGAATAGTTGTAAAGAATAAAACAATGAAATGAAATAAATAAATGATATCTCTTATTTTGCTTTAGGCTTGAGATCTTGTTCTGAACAAGCTTTGAAGACCTTCATCAAGTGTGTAGTCGGCCATTGCTCTAACAAAAAGCAATCTGTTTATAGGCTTTCTTAGCTTTCGCATTACATTACTTTAAACAACATGTACATTCTAAATCACGTATCTAGCATCTTTTTTTGGTTTAATCGAGTGTTCACATTATGTATAGTGTCTTCATTTAGATTAAATGTTGCTATAATTAAGTCCTTCACACCAAATGTTTTTCATATTTAGCTATATCTATTCGTAAATATATTCACGATTTTAGCTTCTACAAAGAAGATTAATACATATTTTCTTCCAGTATACAAAAACTGTTTCAGAAAAAAAAAAAAATTATTTGCTGCAACAATTGGCCTGATTTAGTCTAAATAACAATATTATATTGTGGAAAGAAAGTGTTCACGTAGTCAATGCAGGAGATGGGTTGTACCCATCCCTCAGGGCTCACATGAAATCATACTCGGCCTAATAAGGGACGAATCACCAACACTGACATTCAATCGGTTGACACCCGAGTGGTGTCCGTACGAGTGAGGGATCCATCATGCCGAGTCGAGAAAAGGCCCAACATGAAAGCCCATTAATCGGCACCAACTTAGATCAAGCTCAAGTTGGAGGATTAAACTATAAAAGACGAAAAGGGAAGCACGAAGAGAGAATCCGAAAAATAGACTCAATAGACGGCAACTCAGATTAGGGTTTTCTTACCTTATTTACTTTGTTGTCACCTATTAGTCCGTACGTTACCTCCGGTCAAGTTCTCCGAGCACCGGATACTCTCTTTGTACTCACTTCCCGATTATAAATAAAGCTCCTTTCTTTGCTTATAACTACTCGTACCTTCGTAATAACCCACCGACGAGTCTAGTCACTCACCTCACTGATATACAACCGAACTCGGTTCAGACAGTTAATAGTTTTTTGTGTGAAAGATTCACGTAGTCAAATAGTTATATACGATTACATATACATATAAAGTATATAAATGTATTTATATCCATCAAGTCGAATGGTTGTGGTCTGTATCAACATGCAAACTTGATTCGAACATGGAAAAGAGGGAATACGATGGATTGACCAATTGGTCTTCACTCTTTACATGTTGTAAGATTCATTGCTGGAAATTAAAAAAGTAATGGAAGATACACAAGCATATGCTTTATTCTCCTTTTTGCTTACAAAAGCATATGCATATATTGGTCATTGCATGACTTTGGCGTTGTTTTTTTTGGATGTCGCTGTAATAGCAGTAGAAATTCAAATTCTTTGTTTTTCTGTATTTCAATTATTATTTCCGGAGTGTAGTTAAGAAACAACAATAAAAAACAAAAATAAAATCTATAAAAAAATGTATGTTAGACGTAAACGTATGTGCTCTTCACTAACTTTCTAGTTAAAAAACGAGGGTAACAGAATATACAATTATCTTTATATATATATATATATATATATATATCTTCGATTATATTTATCTGGTATGAACTATGGTCAATTTACAGAAAGATTTATGTCTTTTATTAGGTTTACTTAAGCACTCGCGCATATAAGCATGGTTTGGCTGTCTCAATTAAACAACATAAAAACTTTTATACAATTTGGTTTACGAGAGATCGGATCTTACAGTCTTTTTAAAATGAAAGATCAGATAAATGGAAAAGGGCCCCTAGAGATTGATTCCTAACCATATTACTTAACTCGAAAGGCTGAATAAGTGGACTGTTAATTAGTGACATTATTACCAATTATTTTATTGAGTAATCAAGCATGTGCCCTATCTTTGCTTTCTCATGGAAGGACCAATCCTTTTTGCATCCCTCTCTATCTCTTTACCATGAATTTACGGTTAGGCTGATTTTACAAGTGTCATAAGTCATAACCACCAACCTCACTAATTCATTCGTCATCCATCACATCTATCCCTCCCTCATAATAGCAATGTTCGTGATTTTTTTCCCAACAAAATAGTAATGTCTAACTTTACTTTCTCACCAAACTATTGGATGATTAAAGTTTGGAAGATAATGGTAAGAATACCTTTTTGCCAAAAATAAGGAAACCCTATGAGTATCAAAATTGTAAGATAAATCTATGATTTTTCTTCTCAACCTTGAGAAATAAATCAATATAAATATATCAACTAAAAATTTATACGTGGGATTTTTTAAGTTAATAAGAACACATAAGAAAACATATATGATAACGATGTAATTTTATTTTGTAAATAAATGAAGAATATGTAGTTCATGATACACAATAATCTTTCAATCAGTCATGTTTTATAAATCAAAATGTATTAGCCGTAGCTCTCCTTGGATATAACTATTGATAATGGTTAACTGAGCGTATATTCTTACTGTACACAGAAAATACAAAATAAATTATAAGCACCGTGACTTAAAAGTGCCTATCAGATTGCTGAATTCATGTATAAATATTCAACTAAATACAAGATTTAACTATTTATGGTACTTATATTTTAGAACAAAGAAAACCAATATTGTTTTTTTACAAAAAAAAATGAAAAACAACATTGCTGGCAAAACCTGAACGGTGGAATCAAAGATGTCATAAAGTGCACCACTTCATCAGCTTATTTGTCCGGTTTAAAAACATATATAGATTATTATCACATCTTGTATATAGATAAAAATAATGTATATTTTGTGTATATATGTAAGATTTAACAACAAATAAACAAGTAAGGTTAGTGGAATTCATCTCCCAAAAGTTACTAGATTCCTGGGTATACATAAAGATAAAAATTGGGTCACTTTGTTGCATCATTCCATAAAGCTACTTAAAAGTTCATGTTTCAGATCCTTAATAAATTTAATAAGCATTTAAATTTCAGTAGTTGATCAAAATCGTATATAGTAAGTCCTTCCATAAGAAAAGCATCGACCCAAACTTCCCAAAAAGTCGCCAAATGTAACTTTCAATCTGTAATTATATATGACTACTAAGAAGGATTACAAATTTATAGTCGCCACCTGATCAGATGCATAGTTGTAGTTATCGTTGTCAATGTTTTGATATTAAACTGAAAGATAGAGTGCATCAGTATTTTATATTTATAGCTGATGCATAGTAGTTTTTTTCTTGAACAATGGTATATATTTTGTCTATTACATTAATATTTAAAGATATATTTTTTTTTTAATTCTATCATTCAGAACGAATGAGTTTAACTTTTGCAGCATTTGAAAGCATGGTGAACAGTATTGCATATGACTTTTACAACAAACGGTCATATTAACACCTTACGGTTTGCTTTTTTTTTTTTTTTTTTTTTTTTTTTTTAACAC